TTCAAAGCTCTCTTATCTTCCTAATCTTTTTATTTCCCTCCAGCAGCACTAACCCGCTGGTGGAGTAGGCTGCTGCTGCACTGGTGAGTTCTCTCCTGATTTCTCTCTCTCCTCTGGCACCTTCTCCACATGCATGCTTGTGCACACATACTCGTGCACACACAGTATCTTCTGTAATCTCATTCGGGAGTGAAATTTCAGAATATAAAAAGTTAACTGATTCCTTTTTCAATGCTCATATGAAATAATCCTAGCATATCCTTCTATTTTGGACCACTCTCAAGCAGAGGGAGCTTAACTTTAATAAGTTCAAAGCAAACAAGTGACACTTTAACAGGAGACATAAATTGAGATGTTTATTCCCAGTACATTTTTAAAAAAGGTCTCAATAGCTTTTTACTTACATTAAACATCTTTTACCCAAAGTCATATAATTAGTAGCAAAGCTGGTGTGTTAAGTTCTATTTCAAAAATATCCAGTTCATTCGTAAGTTTCAAACTCTTTTGCTTAGGAAACTTCGTGATTTGGATCCTGCTCCCTCATCTGACCTAATCCTCAAAAAACATAATTGCAGCCACACTAAGCTACTTGAAGAATTCCGGCTAAATCATTCTGTATCATAATAGCATTTGCATGAAAAAATACAGTTCTCTTAAAGTGGACACTGCCTGCTTATATGATTACACAAATTCTAAAAAAAATCAGCTCAAATAGCACTTATGCGGGAGACTTCTCTTACTCTTCTTACACCTACTGCTTCTGTTTCAGATGTCTTCGCCAATGCTCCTATGGTTTCTATTTTAATACCTACTACACTTCACATAATTGCTAATTAGTTTGCCAGTCTACTATGAACAATCTTTGGAAAAAGAGATAACTTGTTACTTATTTTCCCAGTGACTTGATTTGGAACGTATTTTGAAGTTAAAAGTCAATGAGTCTGGCTTCTGATTGGACATAAGAAATAAAGAAAAAAGAGGAATTAAGAATAATTCTTGATTTTTGACTTCAACAAGTGAATAAATGGTTGTACCATTACGTGAAACAGGAAAGCCTGAGATATTTATTGGAAATAAATTTAATGGAGAGGTCAAATGAGCAATCTTAATTTCAGGGAGAAAAGTGCCAGGCTAGATATATAAATTAAGGTGTTATAAGCACACAGATAGCATTTAAAGCCCTGGGAATGGGTATTACCCAGGGAAACTGAACAAAGCCTGGCACTGTAATATTTTAGTGTGAGAAGGAACACAGGAGAAAGAAGGAAAATAAGAAGAATGTGGTATTTAGGGCCGGGTGCGGTGGCTCACACTTGTAATCCCGGCACGCTGGGAGGCCGAGGCAGGCAGATCACTTGAGGCCAGGAGTTCAGGACCAGCCTAGCCAACATGGCTAAACCCTGTCTCTACCCGCCACCCCCTACCCCCCACAAAAAAAGTGTGTGGTATTTAGGAAGTGAAACAAACAAGTGTTTTCAGAAGTGAGGAGGGCCAGGCCAGGCGCGCTGGCTCACGTTTGTAATCCCAGAACTTTGGGAGGCCGAGGTGGATGGATCACCTGAGGTTGGGAGTTCGAGACCAGCCTGACCAACATAGAGAAACCCCGTCTCTACTAAAAATACAAAATCAGCCGGGCACGGTGGTGCATGCCTGTAATCCCAGCTACTTGGGAGGCTGAGGCAGGAGAATGGCTTGAACCTGGGAGGTGAAGGTTGCGGTGAGCTGAGATCACACCACTGCACTCCAGCCTGGGCAACGAGAGTGAAACTCCATCTCAAAAAAAAAAAAAAAAGAAAGAAAGAAAGAAAGAAAGGTGGGGAGGGCTCACAGTGTGGCAAGTGCTTCAAAATATAAGGAAGCCAAAAGGATGACCACTGGATATGGTAACATCAAAGTCACTGGAGACCCTGGCGATTTTAGCAGAGTAAAGAAGACAGAAGCCAGATTGGAGCGTGCCAAGGAGGGAATATGATGTAAGAAAGCAAAGACACTGAGACAATACTCTGGATAAGTTTTGTTGTGAAGAGGCAGAGAAAATGGCACAGCAGATGGCTGGGAGGCAAAGGATCATCAAAGTGGGGGATAACAGCAGAAACAAGTGCTCGTCTTATAACTTTATACTCCACTGAAATTAGTTTTTTCAAACTATATGAATTTCTTAAGAGCAGAATTTCCTATTTTCTACCTTCTCTCTGTATCATAGTGTCAGAGGTGTTCAAACCAGAGCAACTCCATCTTCAGTAGGGGTCTGGTAAAACAAGGCTAAGACCTGCTAGGCTACATTCCCAGTTTAAGTTAAGGCAGTCTTAATCACAGAATGAAATAGGAGGTCGGCACAAAATGCAGGACATAAAAACCTTGCTAATAAAACAGGTAAGTTATAGTAAAGAAGCTGGCCGGCTGGGCGAGTTGGCTCATGCCTGTAATCCCAGAACTTTGGGAGGCTAAGGCAGGCAGGTCACCTGAGGTCAGGAGTTCGAGATCAGCCTGACCAACATGGAGAAATCCCCTCTCTACTAAAAATACAAAATTAGGCCAGGCACGGTGGCTCATGCCTGTAATCCCAGCAATTTGGGAGGCTGAGGCGGGAGGATTACGAGGTCAGGAGATCGAGACCATCCTGGCGAACATGGTGAAACCCCGTCTCTACTCAAAATACAAAAAAATTAGCCGGGCGTGGTGGCAGGCGCCTGTAGTTCCAGCTTCTCGGGAGGCTGAGGCAGGAGAATGGCGTGAACCCGGGAGGCGATGGAGCTTGCAGTGAGCGGAGATCACGTCACTGCACTCCAGCCTGGGAGACACAGCGAGACTCTGTCTAAACACAAGGTGGTGCATGCCTGTAATCCCAGCTACTCAGGAGGCTGAGACAGGAGAATGGCTTGAACCCAAGAGGTAGAGGTTGTGGTGAGCTAAGATCCCACCATTGCACTCCAGCCTGGGCCGTAAGAGTGAAACTCCGCCTCAAATAATAATAATAATAATAACAAAAAATAAAAAATAAAAATAAGCCCGTCAAATTTAGACATTGCAAACATCTTCTCCTAGACTGTCACCTTCCTGAGAACTTTACCCGTGATATTCTTAGTAATAAAAATGTTAAAAAAAAAAAAAAAGCTGGCCAAAACCCACTAAAACTAAGATGGCAATGACAGTAACCTCTGATTGTCCTCACTGCTACACTCCCACCAGCACCCTAAGAGTTTACAGATACCATGGCAACGTCAGGAAGTTACCCTATATGGTCTAAAATAGGGAAGCATGAATAATCCACTTTCTGTTTAGGATCAAGAAATAACCATAAAAATGGGCAACCAGCAGCCCTTGGGGCTGCTCTGCCTATGGAGTAGCCATTCTTTATTCCTTTACTTTTTTTTTTTTTTTTTTTTTTTTTGAGACGGAGTCTCGCTCTGTCGCCCAGGCTGGAGTGCAGTGGCGCAATCTCGGCTCACTGCAAGCTCCGCCTCCCGGGTTCACGCCATTCTCCTGCCTCAGCCTCCCGAGTAGCTGGGACTACAGGCGCCCGCCACTGCGCCCGGCTAATTTTTTGTATTTTTAGTAGAGACGGGGTTTCACCATGGTCTCGATCTCCTGACCTTGTGATCCGCCCGCCTCGGCCTCCCAAAGTGCTGGGATTACAGGCGTGAGCCACCGCGCCCGGACTATTCCTTTACTTTCTTAATAAACTTGCTTTAACTTTACTCTGTGGATTCCACTGAAATTCTTTCTTGCACGAGATCCAAGAACCATCTCTTGGGGTCTGGATTGGGACCCCTTTCCAGTAACAGTAGGTTCTTAATACCTGTTTGTGGAATGCCTAGAACCTAAACTCTTTAAGTCCTGGTCTGAGAAATGCAGTAGAGTGGAATGAGGAGAACCTGGAATTAGACTCAAGTTTAAAAATGAGGTTTTTCACTAACAAGCTACGTAGCCTTAGACAAATTACTCTATCTCTCAGAACGTCTGTTTTCGTATGGGCATAAAATACTTATTTTGCTAGAATGCTGTGTCAGTGAAATGAGCACTTGCTGCAGTGTGACTCAGAGGGTACCCAAAAATGTTCAACATTATTAGTTACTATTTCCAATGGCAGGCAAATTATAATCATGGGTATGCCACACATAAGTACATGTAAGTACATATACTGGAGAGAATTTAAATGGAGTTTTAAGCGTTTCACAATACCTCTCAAAAACAAGTATATAAAAAAATTAACGCAAAGCAAAAAAATATTCAGACCTGACAAATGGTCTTGAAAGACCAGAAACATACACTGCAGTTTTAGATTTCATTATAGTATCATTTAAGTGAGGGGTTATAAATGTGATGGAAAATAAAATAAACACAACATAGAGGAGGAAAAACAAAGATCATTATAGGGAATTTTCAGAGACAATAAAATGAGCCAGGTATAGAATATAAGTTCTTTAAATTTGGGTCTAGACTACTGGTAATTTATCCCCAAAGAAATCCACCTTTGGTCTGTTTCTACCTGGGCTCTTGAATTCTACTTTCCCATACATGACTGAATTTCCAAATAGTAACCACTGATCCATCACAAATGTAAATCACATCATTAAACTTGCATATTCCCCACTCCCCACGAAGGCTTCCCACTGAACTCGAAATCAAGCGCTAGCTTTAAGTGCAACAGTCCCAACTGGCAACAACCAAAACGTCCATCGACATGGCCAGTGGCTACCATATTAGATCACTATGTGGCTGACTCTCACATAGGTCTCAGCAATAATCTTCTCAGGCTTCTCCTCAGAGGCCTTCTAAAACCAATCTAAAGTAGCGCTCTCCCCCAGCACATTGTTCTTTATTTTTTTTGGAGCACATATCACAGTATCTCAAACTATTTTATTTGTTCAATTATTTGTATTCTATTATAATGCAAGCACCAGGAAAACTGGTGTGTTTTGTTCAATACTGTTATCACCAGTGGCTAAAACGGTGCCTGGCACAAAGTAGACATTCAATAATTATATAGTGAATACATAAACACGCAACTTTCCAAATCTTTAATTACATGTTGTATAGCAGTAAACCTTGGGTGGACAAAATACTATAATCTCAAAATGACTTACCACTGGCATGCAGAAAGTTAACTTACCAGGCTACTTCCTCCAAAAGGCTTTCATTGACAACCCCAGCCTGAGCTGTCTCTCATATAATTGTTTAGCATCCAGTACTTCCTCTCATGGTAACTCTTATTATATTGTAACTAAGTTACTTGGTTGTATCTCCCACTGAACTGTCTCTTGACTGAAATAAATATGTCAACTGTTTGAGTACTTTTTTCACACATAAGTCACTACTTCATTTTTCTAAACCAAAGCATGGAAGAGCTGGGAAGTAATTAAGGCCCAGTAACCTAGAGGTCATACTATGCAAGGGATATGGTGTGTCTATTAGCAACAGGTTCCATTGGCTTATGAGGCACTGCCTGAAGCTTCCAGGGAAATATATAGGGGAAACAGTCCAGAGGATTCAGGATGGTCTGGTATGACTCTGGACTAGCTCTATCTGGACAGCCCAGTCCCTACACTGACCCCAGAATGACACCATAATGCAGCCCTCTCTGACATATTTGTAACTCTGCTTGCCACATAATCAGTATCCTCATCTCCTAGCGCATGGTAATAACATTGTCTTTAATATAAAGATGTACCTATTTGCAGTCACTACTTCTATCACCACCACCAGCAGAGCCTGAGCTGAGGAAACCACGGTTCTCAATACCCAGCACACCCACTTCCAATTATCTGTTAAAACATGGTGGATTACTATGAAGTTCTAGGAGTGCAAAGATATGCTTCACCTGAGGACATTAAAAAAGCTTATCATAAAGTGGCACTTAAATGGCACCCTGATAAAAATCCAGAAAATAAAGAAGAAGCAGAGAGAAAATTCAAAGAAGTAGCTGAGGCATACGAGGTATTATCAAATGATGAAAAACGGGACATTTACGATAAATATGGCAAAGAAGGATTAAATGGAGGTGGAAGTCATTTTGATGATGAATGTCAGTATGGCTTCACATTCCATAAGCCAGATGATGTTTTTAAAGAAATTTTTCATGAAAGGAATCCATTTTCTTTTCACTTCTTTGAAGACTCACTTGAGGACCTGTTAAATCATCCAAAAAGCTCCTATGGAAACAGAAACAGAGACGCAGGATCCTTTTTCTCTACCTCCAGTGAATATCCAATTTTTGAGAAATTTTCTTCATATGATACAGGATATACATCACAGGGTTCACTGGGGCATGAAGGCCTTACTTCGTTCTCTTCCCTGGCTTTTGATGATAGTGGAATGGACAACTACATATCTATTACAACTTCAGACAAAATTGTTAATGGCAGAAATATTAATACAAAGAAAATTATTGAAAATGATCAAGAAAGAGAAGCTGAAGATAATGGAGAGTTGACATTTTTTCTTGTAAATAGCGTGGCCGATGAAGAGGGCTTTGCAGAAGAATGCAGCTGGAGAAGACAGTCATTGAACAACTATTCGCCAAAGTCTCACAGCTCCAAACATGTATCTCAACATACTTTTGTGGACAATGATGAGGGAGGTATATCTTGGGTTACCAGCAACCGGGATCCCCCTACTTTCTCAGCAGGAGTCAAAGAGGGTGGTAAGAAGAAAAAAAAGAAGCGTAAAGAGGTGCGAAAGAAGTCTACCAAAAGGAATTGTTAAATTGACTCTTCAAACATAACATTTGAACACAATTGTGTGTGTTTTGGTTAATCACAAATTTTGTAGATAACACTTGTTTAATACTATACTAAGAGCTTTTCAACACTCTTAGCAGGATTGTGGACATTTGGTTAGTAGTTGTTTGGATTGGGTATGTCAGAAAAGGATGAGTTTGTTGTGACAGTTGGTGCTATTAAGAATTTGCCTGGGTAATATAGTGAGATCTTGTCTCTACAAAAAATTTAAAAATTAGCCAAGTGTGGTGGCACGCACCTTGTAGTCCCAGCTACTCAGGAAGCTGGTAGGACTGCTTGAGCCTGGGAGACATAGGTTGCAGTGTACTGAGATCACGCCACTGCACTCCAGCCTGGGCGACAAAGTGAGACCCTGTCTAAAAAAAAAAAAAGAATTTGGAAAACTGCAAAGAGTTTTTTACCTCAGAATTTTTCTTTAGTAGCGTGTATAGCCTATTTTATTTCTTTTCTCTAATTAAAACCACTATACACATTTCTGAAACATGCATAACATTAGGAGACAAGAAGGTATTGAGACACACAGGTTCAGACTATATAATTATCCACGAAATGACTTTTTTCCAATGGAGGTACAGCATTTGATGCATAACTTAAAGGTATTACAAATTAAAAATTAAAGTATAAAATATTTTAAGTTAAAAAGACTTGGATAGACTTAGTTGAGTGCAGTGGCTCACACCTGTAATCCCAGCATCTTGGGAGGCCCAGGAAGGAGGGTTGCTTGAGGTCAGAATTTCACGACAGTCTGGGTAACATAAAGAGACCTGTCCTCTATGAAAAAATTGTTTAAAAACGTTAGCTGGGTGTGGTAGTGCGTGCCTGTAGTCCTAGCCACTCAGGAGGCTGAGGTAGGAGCATTGCTTGAGCCCAGGAGTTTGAGATTGTAGGGAGCTATGATATTGCCATTGCACTCCAGCTGACAGAGTGTGACCCTGTCTCTAAAGAAAAACAATAAAAAATTTAAAAATGGGTAACATTGTAAATTTTATGTAGTATATTTTACCACTTTTTTTTTAAGGCCAGTCTTACCCTGAACTCAGAGCAGTCTGTATGGTAGGCCATCAGGGAATCACTCCAGATAGGAAACTTTCTATTTTTGTTTAGAGTTTGTACACAAAATCTAGAAATACGTTACATTGAAATACCACCTATAGCCATTTTAATTTAGTCACGTTGGGAGAAAAACAGATGGGTTACAAATACATCAGATATCGAGCAAATCGTTTGAGTTAGGTCTAGCAGCACTAAAACTTATTCACCTTTGACAAAATACAAATACAAAATTGGAAAAAAACGATAATATCTGCTTTTTTTTTTTTTTTTTTTAGACGGAGTCTCGCTCTGTCGCCCAGGCTGGAGTGCAGTGGCCGGATCTCAGCTCACTGCAAGCTCTGACTCCCGGGTTTACGCCATTCTCCTGCCTCAGCCTCCCGAGTAGCTGGGACTACAGGCGCCCGCCAACTTGCCCGGCTAGTTTTTTGTATTTTTTAGTAGAGACGGGGTTTCACCGTGTTAGCCACGATGGTCTCGATCTCCTGACCTCGTGATCCGCCCATCTCGGCCTCCCAAAGTGCTGGGATTACAGGCTTGAGCCACCGCGCCCGGCCTAATATCTGCTATTTTTAAAAGACAGTTATAGTCAAGAACTTGTGTTTTGTATCGGTATTTGATTTTTAGTGGGCAGATGGGAGAAGGAAAGGTTATTTATTCTACAGAAGAGACTGGGGACAATTCACATTAAAAGTTTATTTTCAGAAAATAAAATAATAAAAGCCCAGGGTATTTTAAATGCTTCTTATATAAGATGTGATATTTAGTAAAGTTTATCTGTTATCATGTATGTGGTAGTAAAGTTGAAAAAAATTGCAATTTTCCAAAAACTAAAGCAAAAATCAGTATCTCAGAAAATTTAAGAATGTAATGACGGCCGGGCACGGTGGCTCAAGCCTGTAATCCCAGCACTTTGGGAGGCCGAGACGGGCGGATCACGAGGTCAGGAGATCGAGACCATCCTGGCTAACACGGTGAAACCCCGTCTCTACTAAAAAAAATACAAAAAACTAGCCGGGCGTGGTGGCGGCGCCTGTAGTCCCAGCTACTCGGGAGGCTGAGGCAGGAGAATGGCGTAAACCCGGGAGGCGGAGCTTGCAGTGAGCTGAGATCCGGCCACTGCACTCCAGCCTGGGCGACAGAGCGAGACTCCGTCTCCATCTAAAAAAAAAAAAAAAAAAAAAAAAAGAATGTAATGACATGCCCTGTAGTCCATTTCTTCACTCTTAACAGAAAACCAAAAATTTAGATTTAATCATCTTACTCAATAGCTTAAAATTCCTCAAAGTTTTCCCACCATCTAAAGGAAAAAGCTAATTGTTTCTTAACATAATATACAAGGCTGTCCATGAGCCAGCCACCAGCTTTTTCCCAACTTGATTTCCTATCAGCTCCTTGCGCCCATCTTACGCTCTAGCTCAACTTTTTCCAAAATCTGTTCCAGGGATACCAGTTCAAGACTCATCACAGAAAAGGGGTCCATGGTCAAATACATTTTTACACATTTTGCAAATTACTGCTGAACACATCTCTTAGAAACCTAGACTATTAAGGGCTAGCTGCAGTGGCTCACACTTAAAATCTCAACACTCTGAGAGGCTGAGGTGGGAGGATCACTTGATCCTAGGAGTTCAAGTTTACCCTGGTCAACATGGCGAGACCCTATCTCCAAAAAAAGATTTAAACTATTATGTACATTATGAAATGCAGCATTCTCCAAAAGTATTTGATCACAGAATCATTTTCGTGTAATGCCTACTATTTTGTCTAAGAACATATTTCAAAAAAGCTTTTCCTAAACCGGGTGCGGTGGCTCACGCCTGTAATCCCAGCACTTTGGGAGGCCGAGGCCGGCGGATCATCCGAGGTCAGGAGTTTAAGACTTGTCTGGCCAACATGGTGAAACGCCGTCTCTACTAAAAATACATAAATTACCCAGGCATGGTGGCGAGCACCTATAATCCCAGCTACTCGGGAGGCTGAGGCAGGAGAATCGCTTGAACTCCGGAGGTAGAGGTTGCAGTGAGCCAAGAGATCGCGCCATTGCACTCGGGCCTGGGCAAGAGTCAGACTCAGTCTTTTAAAAAATAAAAATAAAAAAAAAAAGCCGGGCGCAGTGGCTCAAGCCTGTAATCCCAGCACTTTGGGAGGCCGAGATGGGCGGATCACGAGGTCAGGAGATCGAGACCATCCTGGCTAACACAGTGAAACCCCGTCTCTACTAAAAAATACAAAAAAACTAGCCGGGCGAGGTGGCGGGCGCCTGTAGTGCCAGCTACTCGGGAGGCTGAGGCAGGAGAATGGCATAAACCCGGGAGGCGGAGCTTGCAGTCAGCTGAGATCCGGCCACTGCACTCCAGCCTGGGTGACAGAGCAAGACTCCATCTCAAAAAAAAAAAAAGCTTCTCCAGCCATACTACATGATTGCAATGCTTAGTGCTGGCCATTCCTTTTCAGAGTTCTGTGCCTTTGCAAGCGTTCCTTCTGGTAGTACGGCTCTTTTAGTCATGTTGGTGAGAGCCTTTCAAATAAAAGCAAATTCCAGGCCGGGCGCGGTGGCTCAGAGAGGAGGGTGGATCGCTTGAGGCCAGGAGTTCGAGATCCGCTTGGCCAACATGGCAAAACCTGGTCTCTACTACAATTACGAAAATTAGCTGGGCGTGGTGGCACGTGCCTATAATCCCAGTTACCTCGGGAGGCTGAGGCACGAGAATTGCTTGACCCCAGGAGGCAAGAGGATGCAAATGAGTAGAGATTGCCACTGCACTCCAGTCTGAGGGACAGAATGAGGGCCTGTCTCAAAAAAAGACTGAACAATTGCACATCTTTCTTTTCACCTAATCCCACGGAGACTTACGTCTTTCTGTAGCTTTACTATGAGAACTGAAGTACAAGTTCTGTGCACTGGACAATAGCTTTTTATTTTTTATAGTAAGAAGTCGATGTAATTAACATTCCATTTTAAATGAATTCAAGTATATCAACATAAACATATGCCAAGACATAGCTTTGATGTCAAATACCATACGTGCTGGTTCACACATTGTTTATATATTGGCCCAAAAAACTGAAATACAATCCAATGGCAGATCCGCCTGCAAGGAAGGTGATTCAGATTTCACTGATTAAGCTTTATGTTCATCAGAATAATTGCTCGCAATAGAGGACACCCTACAAAAAATTATTCTCCTTAATCCTTCGTCTTGTCTTTACAAACAGGACTTTCAGACACAGAATGCCCCAGGAGTATTTCCAAACAGTTACCTTTCCTAAGAGGAGCTGCTTAAATAATTTGTGTTACTAAGACATGCTTCGTGTATATTCTGGAGCAAGCTCTCATGCCTAACAGAAACCAGAGCTACTTGATGTGAGACACTTTGTCACTTATATCACTTATTTGTGATAATTGCCACAACTTCGGAGTCCGAGTAACTTGGAAGACAGCCCCTCTGGGGGATGGCACACTTTTTTCTCTGCAGTCATTTCGGCTTCACAGAATACCTGAACAGTAGAGAACACACCGGGACCACCCCTTTCCAGGAGCAGCCGGTAGAGAAGAAATCCGCGGAGAGCACAGAGGGTTGGGGAGCGGAGGCCCCACCAGGAGAAGGGTCGGCCGAAACAGGGATCGCCTGAGACCAACTTGGGTCCCTCCAGGGGACACCATGGGAGGAGACGGTGGGAGGAGAGTCTAACCTGAGAAACCGCGGATGTTTGCTACAGCGGGAACCAGCTTGGGGGCTGAGAGCAGCCAAGGCATGACGGCCTAACTCACGCGTCGGGAAGAGAAAGAGGTTAACAGCCTGCAGCGCCGCGTCGCCAGGAAACCGGGCCAGGCCCCCCCCTTCCGGCAGGCGTCGCTCCCGGGCCTTCCTTGCGCGGCGGCGCAGGGTGTGACGTCATGCCCCGAGGTGGGACCGCCCCTCCGATGCCACACCCTTTTTTAGGTCGGGGTGTTGAGTTCTACTCGGTGCACGCAGCCACACAATGTGTTCTTGGACGTCGCTCCCTGGAGGGGATGCTATCTACCGCCTCCTTGAAGGCGCCCATTTCTGGGGTTGGCCCATCCAGGGAGCTGGTTCCTAGTTAAGAATATGAGAATGCACTCGCAGGGAGGCAGGCAACAGCACGAACAGCCACGCTTCTAGAAGGTTCTAGGGAGCGCGCAGGAGCAGCGCA